GCTTTTGTTACTTACCTTCCTAAGCAGTCACTTACACTCGCTTCTGGGCATCACGTTTCACTCCGACGCCACGTCCCCCCTGGGGAAGTCGGGCATCCCACCCCTGGCGGTGCCACCCTGAGACCTGATCACCAGCCCCTCCGCCTCCTTTCCCGCTTCTCCGCCCTCCCGTGCTTCTGTTGCTTTTTTAAAACCTGGTGTTAGCAATGGTTAATGCTCCAGTTTGTGCCGATGCCCCCTGACGGCTCCAGAGACGATACATTTTGGTTTTATGGTAACTTTTTACGTTTTTATGTGGGGACATTCTGGCACCCTGTTGGAACGAGCCCTTGAGGTTGCCACTCTCAGTGACTTGGTGTGGCCTTTGATCTCTCCTTTAAGGCTTTGTATTAGGTCATTATGTAACTGAATAGGCACACATGTCCCTTTATTTAGTAGACCAAGGGACATATTTTTTTTATATTGTTTCAGAACTCGATTCTATCATTATGTCTACAGCTTTTTAAAAAAAAGTTTTTTGGAAAAATCAAAGTGACCTGTGTTCCATGTTGTTTGATTCACTCTGTGTTGCCCTGTGAGTAGGTGAGAGCTGGCCTTGCTGGGCATTTGCATGTGTGAAAGAAACGAATCTGTGCTTTAGTGCTGATGTGTCACTGCTGACTAAGGAATCAGCCACAGCACTTGACATGCTGCCTCTGGCCATTTGAATTCTGTCTTTATATGTAGTTAAGTCCATTTATGTAAGGTTTGTGTGCATCATTTTAGGCTGTCCAAAATTTGGAACAAAATGTTCCATTCCTAGAAAGTGATTATTGACTGGGAAGGCCCCTTTTCACTGAAATCAATGTATAATTAAAAGATATAAATTTCAATTTAACATAATGACCAAGTTATTAAGTATTTGAAGTAGAGTGCAATTATTTTGTTACTCAGAAGACATTAATTATGTGCCCATTCATCAAGGGTATGTTCCTGGGCATTGGTTATCACGGTAACGTTCTTAATACACTAAGATGATTCCGATGTACCAGACACAAACTTTGGAATTTTTTTGTTTTTCTTTATGGAATGATGATGAATTTGTCAGTAGTGGTGATGAATTTGTTCACCCTTTTCACTTCTGCATCCTTCCATTGCCTGCTGGCTCTTCTTCCCTCGTGCTTATGCCACATAATCAGCTAATTAGCAATGTTAATCAGCTACTCACAGTAGTTGCCTTAGCTTTCTTTACAGAGCCTATAACCAACTTACTTCACTGCAGAAATGTCAGATAATGTATCGGGGTGAATTAAAGTTGTATGGCTAGACTGAATTTGAAATAAAGGGATTAGTATACCTAGTATTAGCCATGACACCTCTATCTGTTGACGCTGGGAATCACTGCTATAGGTATCTTTTGCTTTCATTATTACTGTGATTTTTATGGTTTCACTGTTTTGTTTACTCCATTGATTATATTTTACCTTTTCATTTTGCTCTGAGATTTATTTAAAACAATTTTGAAAAAAAAAGAAACATTTTAAATTTAGTTTAAACCTGGCTCTTTACTCATCCCCAAATTAGGACCAAATTTTTGGTGTTTCTTCGCCTTAACTCTAATGACCTTTTGTACTGTCAGTACACATCCATGGGTCCATAAGGGCAAAAAATGATAACAATTTATAACCCCTTATAAAGAGCTCTCAGAGCTTTTCACCTTCATTCCGATTTAATCTTTAGTAAGCATGGCAGGTGTTGTCTATTTTATAAATGCAAAAACTGATGTTCAGAAAGGTTGTTTCTTGAAAAAGGTTGCATAGCTAGTGTCAGACTAGAACTCTTTCTAGGATGCCTGCCTCCATCCCTTAAATGTTTGAAAGTGATGGTGACAAACAGTGGCTGGTGTTACTGAAATGGTACAGTTAGAGATGGTACAGTTATTTCCCAGCATGGATGTCAGAACTGGTTAATATCTGAGAGGGTATGCTAGAATTGTTAAAAATTAGGCCAGATAGTTGTTTTAATAATGATTTAGTCCAGTAATAGAAAAAGCTACATTTATTGAGATATACCTCTGAGGTTGTTGGGAAACTTGCCTATGATAAACAGCTAGTAAGTGGTGGAGCTAGGACTTGAACCTAGCTTGGAAATGGGAACCACCATTTTGGGGACCTCTTCTCTCTGAGAATTGCTGATGCTGAAGCACTATTTACTGACTTGAAATTCAGTTGACCCTCTCCCTAGGAGAATGTATATATGCACAGAATTTTGCATATAGCTTTTGGGGGTTTTATGGAAGTGGTTGAGCCCGGCCCCTTCATTTTACAGGTGAACATATGGTGAGCCCAAGAGGGTAAGAAAATTATTTGCTCAAAGTCTTTCAGCTGAAATGAGACTAGGAATAAGTCTCTTCATTCCTAGTGGTATGTCCTTTTCACACTGTTTGAGCTTTCTAACATTTGTAAACTGATAGAATACATCGCAGTTTTCAAAAGAATTTAAAAATAATATAAGAATCAGATTTTTGGGTTGACTTTAGCCAAAATTTCCTCCCTTCTGCCCCTTGCATTTTTAGTGTATGGTTACAGCTTTAATTATTTTTTTCCAGAGATAGTTCACTACTCAAAAGATAAGAGGAGCTGTGTTAGAAAGCCCTAAAATTTTAAAGTTAAAATTGTCAACATGAAATTTTTTCCTAACACAATTATTGTACAGCTTACTAAGTTAAAATTAGATCTCTATAAGTATATGTAACAGTTTGGTGATGACTCATTGAGTTTTACCTAATTATAACTTAAAGTTTTTCTTCCCTGATTTTTGTTCTAGATGCCATTCCAAGTTCAGATCAAATTCGAATAGCACCATCCTTAAAAAGCCAAAAAGGATCAGTGTGGACAAAGACAAAAGCAGCCTTTGAGAACTGGGAAATTGAGGTTACATTTCGAGTGACTGGAAGAGGTCGAATTGGAGCTGATGGCCTGGTATGATAATTTCTTTAACTTAGAAAATGTATATAAATGCATATACCACCAACTCTAAATGTTCCCTATTATATATTTACAGGCAGTTTGGTATACAGAAAATCAAGGCTTGGAGGGTCCTGTATTTGGATCAGCTGATATGTGGAATGGTGTTGGAATATTCTTCGATTCTTTTGACAATGATGGAAAGGTATATTTGTTATCAGGACTGTTAACCCAGTTTATTATATCTGCTCATAGTTAAGCTGTGAGAAATACAACTTATTTAATACTTTTGTAGGCTTAATAGTAGAGAACTGCTCAAAGTATGATGATTATTAGTCTTTATGTAGCTGGGAATTTATACATTTAAAGCTATGTATTCCTGATTTGTCATGCTTCAACTTGAGATCATAATGGAGCCCTAACTGATAATTTTGCAATGCCCCCCTCCCTAACACCCTGTATGTCACAGTGATTTTGATGGATAAGCATGAGTCATTTAGATGTAGGCAGTGAAACCATTAGTGTTTAGAGTCAACTAAACATTGTTTAAAATGTTTTTCATTTATTTCAGGGAGAGGGAGATAGAGATAGAAACATCAGTGACCATAGAGAATCATCAGTTGGCTGCCTCCTTCACACCCCCTAATGGAGATCCAACCCGAAACCCAGGCATGTGCCCTGACCGGGAATTGAACCATGACCTCTGGTTCATGGGTCAGTGCTCAACCACTGAGCCACACCATCTGTGCTATAGTTTGTTTTTTATGAAAATACCCATGTTCATTACTAGCTCATAATTTTATATCTCTTCCTGTATTTTTTTCTCTTCCTGTATTAATCTTTTTGATCAACCAATTTCTCTGATCTCTCCTAAAACAGTTAAGAACAAAATATACTTACGAATTGGGAACATTAACTTGTGTTTGAGCAGGCTTAAAATTGATTATCTTCATTTCAGCTGGTTGTTTCTCTACTGGAGTTATTATTAGCAATTTAAGAGAGAACTTTAATAAATCCTTGAATGCTGAAGCCATGTTAGTCCTCCTGTTTTAGCTTCTACAAATCCCACACTTGTCCCATATCCACGGTGTATCCTCAAATACATGTTGGGTTGATTATTCAAAGAGAAAACACGTCATCAGACTTTATTGGGGTGTTAAGTGACACTTTTTGAATGATTGTAAGAGTTTACTAATTTTTTTCTAAATTACGTAGAAATCTCTTCTATTATTTTAAAAACTTCAGTTCTAGAATATTAGAGATGTAAGAAACCTTATAACATATCCAGAATGATCTGGAATTCTTTGGCTAAGGGCTTTAAAACATATTCTTTTTTATTTTTAGAAAAATAATCCTGCTATAGTAATTGTAGGCAACAATGGACAAATCCATTATGACCACCAAAAGTAAGTATGTGTTTTTTACATTATTCCTGATTTCAGCTTCTTTTTGGAAACCTAATAAAATATATTATTTCAAATGTGAACATTTTCCAGATGAAATAAGATTGTTCTTTTTCTTGAGATTTATTTTATAACTTGGTGGAAAGGTCTTATTTTAATTTGGTTCTTTGTTGTTGTTATTAAACCTCACCCCAGGATATTTTTTCCATTTTTAGAGAGAGTGGAAGGAAGGGAGAGAGAGAGAGAGAGAGAGAGAGAGAGAGAGAGAGAAGCAGTCATTGATTTGTTGTTCCACTTATTCATGCATTCATTGGTTGGTCTTGTATGTGCTCTAACCAGGGATCAAACCCCCAACTTTGATGTATCAGGATGATGTTGTAGGCCAATGGTGGGGAACCTTTTTGCTGGCAAGGGCCTTTTGGATATTTGTAACATCATTCGAGGGCCATACAAAATTACCAACTTAAAAATTAGCCTGCTGTATTATTGGTCAAACATTTACTTAATTCACCCCTAATGCCTTGGCAGGGCCAGATCAAATGATTTTGTGGGCCGGATGTCCCCCTCCTTTTCTGTAAGCCAACTAGAGCTATTTGGCCAGGGCTATCTAGTACTTTTAAAAGTTAATGAAATGTTCTTGGCTCTCAGTGATCCCATTTATCATGTTTATTTGTTTTTATTAAAAGAGATGTTTGATCTTTTGAAAATAAGGTTTGGAACCTTGACTAACCTGATGACTAAGAAATTTATGCCACCTTCTTCCACCTTAGAATTGGTATATTTTAAGATTCTTGGGGGGTACAAAGTTTCTAAGTATTTAGTGTATTTGTAATGTGTGGGAATTAGGTACCTACATTTTTTTAATTCTACATGTTTGTTGTGGGAGGAATTGCCTTCTAGCCAGTCAAGAAAACTTGAAGAAAATTTATTCATCCACATTCCAGTTTACTGTTTCCTACCTTAGTGATTTTTTTTTTTATTCTGGTAGATACCTGTGGAACTATTTATAATTTTTAAATATATATTTTTATTGATTTCAGAGAGGAAGGGAGAGGGAGAGAGAGATAGAAACATCAGTGATGAGAGAGAATCATTTACTGCCTCCTATACCCCCGCCCCCAATGGAGATAGATCGAACTCAGAACTCAGGCATGTGCCCTCACCAGAATCGAATCCTGATCTCCAGGGTCATAGGTTGATGCTCAACCATTGAGCCACACTGGTAGGGCCTGTGGAGATATTTAAATAAAGGTGCCAGACCTTCTTGTGATTCTGATTCTGCACTAGGGTGAAGGACTTTGCCCCAATCTCACATCGAAGAGTAGTGTCTCTTTGCCCTCACTATCAGCACATGCTAATAGTGGCTCCTCATGTTACCCAAAGACTTTATCTTAACTTGATACTATTTTAATCTTTCTAGATATGAATCATTTTAAATATGAGTTTTTAAATATTGAAAAGCTTATGTTTCTTTTTGTTTTCCTTTCCCTCATACTATAGTGATGGTGCTAATCAAGCTTTAGCAAGTTGCCAGAGGGATTTTCGTAATAAACCCTATCCTGTCCGGGCAAAGATTATATATTACCAGAAAACATTGACAGTAAGTACCATGTGTTTAGTGATAATCAAATGAACAGTATTCTTATATGACTTTTAATTTTCAATCTTTGATATATAAATTAAATGCATTTAAATTTGAATATTGTTCGTGTTTCTCATTAATATGAGAAAACAGAAGTGGTTCCAAAGCTTGATGTAAGTGGTCATGTGTTGTAAAACCTGGCCTCTAGGTTTTTATTTAGTCAGTAAATACTTAAGCATCCTATTATGTGCCACACATTATATGCATATCCAAGCCATCAGGATACAAATATAAGTAAGGCAAAGATCATTTTCTCCAAAGAGCTTGTAGTCTAATGCAGGAGACACTTGTGTGCATTACTGTGCTGTGTGGTAAATGCTACAACACAGATACCCCTTAAAGCAGCGGTCGCCAACAGGTGGTCCGAGGACCACTTGTGGTCCGTGAGGTCCGAAAGGTTGGCGACCGCTGATTTAAGGAAACCTTTGGATCAGCGGTCACCAACTGGTGGTCCACGGACCGTTGGTGATCTGTGAGGTCTGAAAGGTTGGTGACCGCTGCCTTAATGGATCAAGAGTGTAGCTTAAACAAGTTCTTCAGGTCTTGTGTTGTTTATATCATAAGGAGCAGTTTAAAGCAAGCATGCCTTGTTGACATGCTTGGTTTAAAGAGTCTTAAGAAGGAAAGTGAAATAATTAGATTTGCAATTTAGGAAGAAGACTTAGGCAGCAGTGTTCTTATTATGGTATTTGTGAAAGGAGCAAAAGATACAATCATTTAGACTCACTGACTTTTAATGGGCCATGCCCTGTACTTGATACTTTACAGGCAGTTTCTCATTCTTTCTAACAGCCCTATGGGATGGGCATAGCCAGTTACATGGGGAAGTTGAATATGGGAGGTTTTAAGAAATTTGGACAGTGTCATACCAAATAAGTAGCAGAACTGATTTGAACCCAGCAGCCTCTTAACTATAAGACTGTGCTTGTGGTCTAAATTAAGAAGAGTGATTAGGAGGTAGAGACTATAGCACTTAGTACTAGTTTGCTTGGGGTGGAAGGGTGAATGCAGTTGTGGAGTCAGAGATAGTTCCTGAATTTGTACAAAAGTAGTACCATTAACTAGCCAAGAGTAGCCATTTGTTTCTGTTTGAGGGGGAGTAGGAAGGCCTAATTTTGCAAAGTTCTGTCAGTGGTGGTAAAGATTAGGTCACCCAGGGAAAATGTTACAGTATTCTGTCCAAATTTTTTGGCAAGATGCTTGTCAATATGAAAGGTCAAGTTCTATATAACGCTGCCCTAACTGGTTTGGCTCAGTGGATAGCGTGTCGGCCTGCGGACTGAAGAGTCCCAGGTTCGATTCCAGTAGGGGGCATGCAGGAGGCAACCGATCAATGATTCCCATCTTTGATGTTTCTATCTCTCTCCCTCTCCCTTCCTCTCTGAAATCAATAAAATGTGTGTATGTATGTATGTATGTATCTATCTATCTATCTATCTATATATTATAAAGTCCTATATAAAACTCTTAACCTCAGTGACCCTTATTTGGATGGGGCTGGTGATGGTGTTGCTGGAGCCCAAGGGTTTTGAGAGTGCTGACTACTGCTTGATTGGGGTCATGAGAAGAGTACTCATGTGTCAGGTTGATTCCTGTGCTTAGAATCCTAGGATTCTTTTAAGACATCTCGTGTCATTACTTCAAAAACAGTGTCTTTTTAGTGTTTTCATTTTCCACCATTTTTGTCACTATGACTTCTGTCACTTCTGCTTTTTTGCTAACCAAATGATAGTCCAGTTGTCTTCCTAATTTAATGAAGAGCTCACTATTTGCTAATAAGGTAATCTATTTCATTTTCAACTAGCTGTGGTAAAAGTTGTAAATTCAACCTATTCTTTTTAGCTCTCTCCCTGGGGTTTCAGAATAAGTCTGATCTCCCTTTTGTGTGAACCGATCAAAGAAATCATGGTTCCCTACGAATTCTTGAAAAAAGGTGAACCATATTCTATTTTAGAAAGATTTTCATGGGAAATTACCACATTTGTCTCTGTAAGCCTTTGGCACATAGTAGGGCAAAAGTGAAATAATTACCAAAAATAAGAGGTTTTTTAGTAGACAGAATTACCCTTTATAATAGTGAGAGAAAGCTGATAGCTTTTTGACTGTTGGTTATTAGACCAACTATAAAGATCAACTAATATTAGACATAAATTGACTACTTGAAATCCCTTTTACAATGTCTGTTGTAAAAGCTGTAGCTACTGTATGTCTCTCTAGGTAATGATCAATAATGGCTTCACACCAGATAAAAATGATTATGAATTTTGTGCCAAAGTGGAAAATATGATTATCCCTGCACAAGGACATTTTGGAATATCTGCTGCAACTGGAGGTCTTGCAGGTAAATCTTGCCATCTTTAACGTTAAAAGTTTGTGAATTGAGTTTTGTTAGGAATAGTATATTTTAGAGATGTGTAGACTTGTTTACTTTTAACCTTTAAGACTAGGTGTAAGCTTCCCAGAGCCAACAGGGCCAGTCTTTTGGTCTCTTGGGACTGCTTATTCTCTACTTAGATTCTGCAGGAATACAGTTGGCTGGGGCTACATACACTGATGTTAGAGCATCGGTGCGGGTGCCATTTCATAGTGAAGGAGACATTTAAAGTTGAAGCTATAAAGGTTAATTTCCAAATGTTTTAGGATACTGCGAAGTATCGCTACACATTTACATGAATTTGGTATCCTGAGAAAATATTATTGAGGACTAAATGTTAAACAAGATATATTTACCTTTTTTTCCCATGTGTGATCATAAATGAACTTATCATTTGACATTAATACCATCTGGTTTATATGGTACATTATACAATATTTTTATTATTTTCAAATATATAAATTTTTCCTTACAGCAACACAGGGAGGGAGAGAAAGACGATAGATTTTTACCTGATTTTAGATGAGTTTGCCAAATCTTGAATTAAAGGACTTTCTAAAGATCACATGGCCAGTAACAGTCAGATCCAGGCAGAACTTGGTTTGGATTCTGACTCCTCTGAGTCCACAGCTCTATTTCATTGCATGACTGCTCCTAAAGTTACCTAACCTACATTGTACTATTACAGTTTTCTCTTTAATCTGGCTGCATATCTAGATCTCCATAATAGTGGCAGAAAGCTTCAAAATTGCTGTACAGTTGGAATTAATTGCTCTTGCTTTGTGGATGTGACTAGCCAGGATTGGCATTTTAGTTCAATCTTAGGAGGTTTGATCTGCTAGGTCCCTGTTTTCAGCTTAAAATTAATTATATTTTTATATAAAATAAAATTGTTAATATCTGTTGTGTGAGGGAAACAATTATGCATGCTGTTTTAGAGGAATCATATTATCTAAATTGTGATGCTTTGAGAGTAAAAGGAGATGCTCTTAGTAATGTCAGGACAACATGGATAAATCAGGATACTCCCTATAAATCAGGAAGCAGTGTCAGGTTTATAATTAGGAAGTAAAGCATGAAGTGGTAAGTGCTATAAGACAGGTAGGCAGAGACAGACAGGTTCGGAAATATGTGTAGGACTGGATTTTGTCTTACTTGGTTGGGACATATAGTCCATGAAGGTTTATGGGAAAATATGGTAGGATGTTGGTGCCAGGGTTAGGAGTTTGGGCTTGATTTGACCCTACATTTGTTTGTTCATTCCCCTATCAGACATCTATTAAACATCTGTTTTATTTTAAACACTGCTAAATGTTCTAGTTTAGGATTGAAGAGAGTGAATTTCACTTATTTCTAATGTAAATCTTTCTGATGAATTTTTGTCTAAGCTCATAGCACCATTGCATTTACCAAATTAGAGCTAATTTTTATTTCCCTTACTGATTATTTTTTAAAGCAATTACCTATTTACAGATTTACAAGCATAAAAATAACCTATTATGGAACTTTTTCCAATTTTTTTTTAATTTATAGATGACCATGATGTCCTTTCTTTTCTGACTTTCCAATTGACTGAGCCTGGGAAAGAGCCAGTAAGTATAAACAGGTTTTCAAAAAATTTATTTTCAGGTTAAACCTTGATAGGCAGCCAGATTAAAGAGAAAATTGTAACCTGAAAACTTGGGGAGACTGACTTAGGTTTGCCTCTCGTTTCTATCAATTACTGCCATCTGACCTTCTGCGAGTTACTTTACGTTTCTTCACTGGTAAACTGAGGTGTTTGTATTGGCTATCTCAGGACATCTGTAAGCACTAAATAAAGCAATGTACTTCTGGCAAGCTCTCGATGAATGGGATTGGCTTAGTATTTTTGGTTGGAATTATTAGTAGAACATTTTCATGTTAACCTTTCAACTAGTGGTGGAGTGGTTACAATGAGAAAAGGACATATATTGAGGTTTATTGTTTTCTTAATTTTTTTTAATGATTTGTTCTTTAAACTCCAAAAAAGCCTACACCAGATAAAGAAATTTCAGAAAAAGAAAAAGAAAAATATCAGGAGGAATTTGAGCACTTTCAACAAGAACTGGATAAAAAAAAAGAAGAATTTCAGAAGGGCCACCCTGACCTTCAAGGGCAACCTGGTGAGTTGGAGTGAAGCTGTCTTCAGGACTGCAGCATTGATGGTGGCCCGTGTGTGTCCCGAACACTTTCATTCATCTCATGCTCTCTTATCTGGCACCTACCAACTCATTTCCGGAAATAATCTATGAGCAAATCTTCAGTCTTTAAAGGGCTTGGAGATTGATGCTTTCACCAGTCACTGGTGTAGTGCAGTGGGCGGAAAGGACTCCAGCGGTGCCATAGATAAGCAGTGACCCGGTGCAGTGTAAGCCCCATGAGGACAGGGGCATTGTTTTTACTGCTGTGTCCCCTAAACCTAAAAAGCAACCATGCTGACCAAGTAGTTGAAACTCAGTAAATATTTGTTGAAGGAAATTGGCTAAAGTTGATTTCTTGCCTTTTGGTGGCACACAATTACCTTATTTATACAGAGGTAATACTTGAAAACTGAACTATTGGGAGAGTAGTGTGAAATGATTATCTAGCTCTCCTCCCCTTACTATGCAACAGAATTCTGGACTTTAAATGTTGAAAATTTTAAAATACTTGTCTAAGCCACTGTAATTAAGAACCTAAGTGTGCTATATAACAAAAATAAGACATAGCAAGGCCAAATAGAGTGACTTTATTTTATTTGCTAACTTTTGCTATCTGAATTGTTCCCCGTCAGCACAATTGAACTGTTTGTAGTATGTGATTCTTAAGTGACCAACAGTACGATTCACACTTAAGTTAAAAATAAGATATAAATTTTACTCTTTTCTCGGATTTGTTTTAAGTATCACGTGTTTAGTGAGCATATCTTGAAGCTTATTTTAACATGTGGATGAAACTATTTTCAGTATGGTCAGGTATAAAAGGAAAATCAGGTCTTCTTTCCTCCATTTCTTAATCTTTTACGCTAATAAAATGCACAAATTTTAAGAGTATAATTTGGTGAATTTTGACAAGTTGTGAATACCCATTTCACCGTCACCAGATCAGTACACAGAATATCACCCAGAAAGTTCATGTCTCTTTCAAGTCAAACTCCCTCCATAGAGGTAACCACTATTCTGATTTTATTAACATATATTAGTTCTGCCCATTTTTATAAATAGAATCTCACAGTACATTTGAAAGAGAAAATGATTTTTAGGTGAAAAAAATCAGACTGAATTTACAATAAATGTTCAACCACCAGACATGACAAAAACAAACAGTAATTTAGTCATGATGGAAATTATCTGCATATTCACTATTGGGGAGATTATACCATTATACCATCATGTTGGTGATGTTCTAATTTTAATATATATTGATACCTTGGTCACTTACTGTATCTTGAAAACTACGTGTGCATAAGTGATTCTTAAGTGATTAGTAACAAATTACTAATTTGAATTTGTAATTTCCATTTTAGCAGATGAAATATTTGAGAGTGTAGGAGATCGTGAGCTGAGACAAGTCTTTGAAGGACAGAATCGTATTCATCTTGAAATCAAGCAGTTGAACCGACAATTAGATATGATTCTTGATGAACAGAGAAAATACGTCTCTTCCTTGACGGAGGAGATCTCTAAAAGAGGAGCAGGAATCCCCGGACATCATGGACAGGTGAGCTTTGAAATACGCAGATATGCCCTAGTTAGTTGGCCTGATGGAGAAGAGGTAGAAAAGAAAGGCTACTGTGCTCTGTGTTCCTATAGAATGTGGATTATTGAGCTGGCGGCTCATTTTGTTTTTCCTCCAGGTCTCTCAGCAAGAACTGGATACCATTGTGAACACTCAGCATGAGATTCTGCGACACGTAAATGAAATGAAGTAAGTATACAACAGTAATGTCTTAGTGTTAGGTGCTATTTTTATCCTAAATTTGTGACTATTCTAAATATTCAGGCACATTATTGTTTAAGGTTCCTGCATGAGGGTAAGAATCACATTCTAGATTCATTTTATAAGTACTAAAGTTAATGTAAAATACAGGAACTTTTGACGTTTAGAAACTACAAACACAGCTAAATTTTTTAATTGTTCTAAGCTAGATAAGGAAAAAATGCTATAGCATCTTTAAAAAATTAGGTTTGTCCTAGTTACTTGTCACAAGGCAGACATAGTCATACATAAAAAGAATATGGGTAGTACACTGAGTGGCCAGATTATTATGACCACCCCATCAGTACTTCATTGACACTTCCAAAAATACTGAATATTGAAAACTTCCTAAGCAAATACTCTCGAGGTTTTATTATTATTATTATTATTATTATTTGCATAACTAATTCACTTCATTGTACTGATGGGGTGGTCACAATAATCTGGCCGGTCATAATAATCTGGCCACTCAGTGTATATAACAACCCTTTGGAAAATGCTAGGGCAGTAAGCATGCCTACCATTGAAAGACTGAAGTACGAGCATACCTGATGCAAGAACTTACACTGGAATGAAAGAATTTTGAAGGAAATATGCTATGTGTGACTACCTCTTTTTTATTCCATCTTGTAGCCTAAGAGAGATTGGACAAAGAGTTGGAGCAGATAAGAGATACTGTGTCCTTATTACAATGAATGATAAGTTTCTAAAAAGGATCCACTTATACAAATATTAACAGCTTTCAATTTCAGGAGCAGAGAAACAGCCAAAATGTCATGTTTCATAAGCTAATACTTTAGAGCACTGCCCCAACCAGTACAGCCCTTGACAGACAAGAATGTCAAGATGAGTTCTTTAGGATTAGAAAATTAAACAGGATTAGGTTGAATAGACGGTGAAACTATCAAATACCTAGACATTAAAGACAACCCAACTTTAACAGCAAATTTGTATTTCTTTCAGTTGTACTGTTTAGCATTTAAAAAAATCTTCAAGTTGTAAATGCAAGGTTAAAATATATATGATGCTGAATGAATAGTTAAATACTTTTAGAAATAGACTGATTCATGTAAAAATTTTTAAATCTTTATTTTTAGCTAATTTTAGACTTCAGAAGTTTCAAAAATAGTACAGTTTCCATATATCCCCCACCCATCTTCCCCTGATGTTAACATCTTAGATAAACGTAGTACAATGATCTGAACCAAGAAACTAACATTGGTACAGTACTATTAACTAATGATCTTAATCAGATTTCACCAGTTTTTCACTAATGCCTTTTTCTGTTCCAGGATCTCAAATGGCATTTAGTTATTTTTTTTTTAGACTTCTGCAGTCTGAAATAATTCATTTTTGCCTTTCATGACCATACAAATTCCAAGAGCATTGAACAGATATTTGGTTTATTGTTCTTCAGTTTGGGTTTATTGGTATTTACTCATGATTGGATGGAGGTTCTGCATTTTTTTACAAGAATACAACAGTGTATCATTTTCATGATATCCGAACGTCTTATCACTGGTAATGTTGGCTGTGATCACTTGCTTATGATGGTTTCTTCCCAGTTTCTA